CCCTGAGGCCTACTCATCTCTCTGTAAACGAACTCAGCTATCAGTCATTTAATCATCTTAAGTAGCCTAAAGTTGCTAATTTATTATTTTCAAACTTATATTGTTCTATTACAATCAATTAAGTTATTAGCATTCACAACCAATGAGTTTCGATATTATTCAAGTTGATCCTATAAATAGAAAACCGTTGTTCAAGTTGATTTTCCTGCACGGAATCTATGAGATGTATACTTGAAGTAAGCCAGAGGAATGAATGTATAGGGTTAAAAAGGGCAGAATGACCATATGTGGTTAGGAATACCGAGTGAGGATACTTGAGTAAAGGGTGTGAAATATATCGAGGCTGAGGGAGGGGAAATTCAACAAGTGTGTTACATAAAATTGATTAGTATGAGTGCCAGTGCACAGAATACGTCAAACCTGCTTAAAAACGCATCAGACCAAATATACTTGAGTAAAGTCGAAAATGTTATAAATGAATGAAGTATAAATTAACTATCCTAGATCAAACATATTTCTGATATTAAATGCTATTAATAAGAAATAATGGTAATAATACAAATTAAATTTACGAAAAATGCGAATAAATGAATTCTTGATAAAGCCCCGCTTACATTGGTTTGTTGTATGCTAACGAAATGCCCCTCCTTGTCACCTTCCTAATTGCATTCATTATTGTGCACGCACAAGCATCAAGCAAAAAGTTAGAAGGAAAATCTGCAGTAACCTAAAATTCATATACGATTTTTAGAGGCCCCTTTTGCAACAAAAAATCTTTTACAAGGATTTCCTTGAGTCCCATTCGTTTGTGGATAAATATAGTCAGACTAGATCGGAAAGCAATCTTACTATACTTGCATATGTCACCCCTGTAAGAGCTTATATTCTTGACAACCAAGTGGAACAATAAAGGCTATGACATAGCGAAGTACCTTACTGCAAAGTTTTCTTTTATCTCTCCCGTCTGGCTACAAATTAGGCGAGTCGACCAGACATATAAGCTCTTTGGTCTTCACGACGTGGATAAGTGTAAGAATTCTTTCGTATATTAATCTGTCAGCTTGGATGAAGGAGCTAAAAATTTCCGACCCAGCTATCAAAATTGTTCCAAGGATCCTTTTCGACGGTTGGTCCAGTCTAGATTTTTCAGAGACATTGACAAAAAGGTCCAATGCTCTCTCTTGTGCAGCCATTATTGTTCAAGCCCTACAGGTATGTGAATTTTAGGTTATACACGGGATACCTTGATAGATATGTTTAGCCACCCTTTATTTTCCATCCTTAGTATCTGTGGTAAATTAGTTATTGTTTAATATAGTTTCAAAATAACCATATATATCTTACTAGACAAATTTGGTCTAGTATCCCTATGGCTTATTTTGTTTCTAACCAGATAATCTTATATATATTTCAAATTTCGATAGCCAATTTGACATTAACCTTACCGCAGTTTATTGCTAATGGAAAAAATAAGTACGCTTTTATTCTGGTTTTTATGGTGTTGTCCTTTATTTGGCTGTTTGCGTGCGATAAAATCATAGCCGTTTATCGTACTTCTTCATTTCATTTTTTACAGGAATATGGATTTGATGGTGCTGTTCTAGAACTTTGGTCTCAACATAGTGGCACGTCTGAAACGTATCTATTTACCCTGTTGCTTCATTCCCTATAGAGATCTCGTGAATTTTATCAAGATTCTGTCCCGGAGTTTCAAAGATTCTGCCATGGTTATAATTCTTGTTGTACCACCCTTCATGTATAATGGGTAAGGCTAATAAGCTATAACTTCCAGCGGCTTCCCAGGAAGATTCCAGCGAAATCACTTTACTTTGCTATTCGAAAATATTGACTACTTTAGTCTGATGACATATGACTATTCAAATGCTCATTCGTGAGTTATTTATAATTTAAACTTTAGTTTTCAGTAGATCTAATGTTTCCTTCACACTTATCTATTTTATATTTTGCTAACCTTATTGGCAAGCTCTCAGGCACCTCATCGTTTTTGGTTCTGTCTTTTTATCACAAGAAAAAAATTTATTTAAAATTCTGATTAACTAGAACCTACTGCACCCTTCAAAGTCAGTCAAAAAGACTTTGCTTCCTAGAAAAGCAATAATATGTGTTTCTCATGACCTTATTTTCTAAGTTCATTTCTTAAAATGTCTGCTACCATCGGTGAATAGGAAGTTGTGCTAACCTTCGCCCCTAAGTTTCACTGTATCTTATTTCCAAACGTATTTTATATCTAAGATGAACCGCCTTTGTTTATTATTAGGTCTTTAATTTACTGGGGAACGACTAATTCTATTTGTCAATGCGGATAATTAAGGATATAATTTTCTACTCGAGTGCTGTAGCCATGTTTTAAGGGTTAATTTGCTTATCTCTTCTGCTCGGACTTATTCAGTTACACAAGTGAAAATTAGGGTGGTATTAAACCCAAACTTATCATGAGGTTAGTGGCAAGCCTAAGTATACCTCCTTGGATCTCGTTTTGCATAAATTATTTTTAATATTATATTGTAGCCTTTTGTGTCTACTACGGAGCTTGAATTCTTAAAATGGATTACATCATACCATTCTATTAGACCCATTCTCTAAAATTATGCGCCAAAATTTTCGTTCTCTTATTGTATATGCTCCTTTATTGGTTTATAGAATATTAGTCGCATAATTGTCTACTAATTTGCTTTGGTTTTTATTACGGATTTTATTTGTTTTGATCTAAAGGCCTGGCCCTAATAGCCCAATAGGCTGGGTCAAAAAGTGCATCTACCATTTGGCTCCTGATGATGATGATGAACCTGAAAAAGTTGCTAAGCAACGAGCGAAATTACTAGTAGGCACAAATTTTTATGGAAATGATTATGAGCCTTCATACCATCGCGCCAATTCGATCCTTGGTCAAGAGTGAGTTACAATTATTTTTTTTCAATCCTTCGTGAATGGCACCGCAATTCATCTTTTTTCATTATTTAACTGGATATCTACACTAAATTGCTTTTACCTAATATCCACTTATCACACGACAGGACAATGCGTTTGAGCTCAAGCGCTAAAATATTAATTTTCACCATCTTGTTTTTCCAAGCGCTATTTACAGAACTTGATTTATTGTGACTCAGCGTTATCTGGGACCGGAGGATTGCCTTAGACCGGAGACAGTTTGATTATGTGATTAAGACCTCGATTCACTGTCCTGTAACCCCGATTAATTTTTACCAAACTTTCGCCTTGCATTGGTCTGACATTTTTAGGATCAGAGGCAAGAATCTAAGAAAAAAGCATCACATTCCGAATCAAATAAAGTGGTTGGTTCAATCATTCACTTAGCTTTCTCAACCTAACGAGGTGTATCATCATTTGGCTATTACTCCACACTTACTCGTCTGCAGATAAGTGAAGTTGATGCATAGAGGGTGTTGATGTGGTCACAACTGTTTTCCTACGATCCAAAAATCCGAAATTCTTCACTCCGAAGCAATGGTCCCTTGGTTTAATGTGAGAAAAATACACGAATACCTTCGAAATGAAAATTCAATTCACTTTACCCAATTAAAAGATTCCTCTAAGCCTAGCTTTTCTTCTGAATATACTCGTTGCAATTTTGCTTGAGGGGGCACTTTTAGTTCTTGATCCTCACTTGACATCGTTTTTCGGTTAGGATTTCGGGTGTGTCTTGAAATTTTAATCTAATTTTGCTATTGAATAACTATTTCTACTAACAGTCCTTCATCACCTTGAACGAAATACGGTGAATACATCTCATATTATATTATAACCAACCATCAAGATGACCTTTGCTTTAGCCTTGAGTTAGTATAACATTTCGGGGTCTAAGGCAACTATAATATACTTTTTATTTGACAAGTATCTCATCCCTAATTGTGTGTTTATCACGTTTTTATCATTAGTATTCGTTCGAAATTCTAGATGGAGAACTAAAAACGTATCAAAAGTGCCATTACGATTGTGCTTTTATTGAATGCGGGTGCCAGTGGGTTTCATGGCAAACCAGCCCTCTCATATATAATATTTTATAGAGACTATTGATGTAGCAAATTGGTATATGCTTCATGATAGCTAATTACTTATATTTATATATTACCAGTAGATTTAGGAAAAATTCAATTATCAGTTCTCTGTTTCTTTGTGCGATTTATGGTGAATACTGTCCTTATTCATGTAATTTAGCTTGCTTAATCGACATTCCCACTATAAAATGTGATATGAGAGAGATTTAGCTTGACTTGAAATGATGCTTACAATGTGATTCACCGGCACTTGTGTCAGTGTGGAGGAGTGTTAAGCTATCAAAATAAGCGCTGAACTAGTCGATTCTGGGCCTCTGGGGGTGCTGGTGCGACTAAGGCGAGGTTTTGACTGCAATTCACCTTGGATAAGAATATCTTTTGGGAAGTAAGGTTAAGGTAAATGCATAGGCATCGTTAGGCCTACTCATGTCAATTCAATTATCAGTTCATAGGTTATTACATTTTTTATTCAGGACTTACTCATATTATTGAAACCTACTCGATATGAATTTGAGTTGCTACCTTAAACCGATTCTTTAGGCATTTATATTATCCATACCTTATAAATTCTGTTTGGAAGGCATAATTATTCACTGCGGAGAGTGAAGATCAGGCGATGGACATAAATAGGGTATATGTTTTTATACAATCTCCTTGGTCTATTTTTCTCCCTACATAGGAGTCAAGTACATAGTATATAGTCTCAGTGATACTCATAATGTCGAAAGCAATACACCTTTGCTAAAGGCTTACAAACATGTTTGATCCTTAAATTCGGTTTTACTATGTTATTATATTAAGATTTGAAATTAGAAGGGAGACTCATGGACCTAAATGAGCATCTTTAAGAAATTGTCCCATGCTATATCAAAGTGATTTAGGTAAGGGTTTGCCTTCGTCTAGTTTTATTCTGCCATGTACTTTGAATATACACTTTTATACAGAATTTGTTTCTCTACCAACTTCCCTGACATACGGACTGAATGTGTAACAAGACAGGCAGAGCAAATTAATAGGAAATGATGATAATCTTATATCAAAAACTTTAGCAAGTTATTCAGCCAATTGATAAAACACTATCATTATGCAATTTTTTTGATCATTTTAGCTTTGTTAAACTCGTGGATCAATATCATCCAAGTTTTCTCTGGAACGAAGAGGATGCGGAACATGTTGTAACATACAGGTACCGATGACTCATTAACCTCGTATTTAAGCCAGAAATTTTGCTCCTTGATATGCTAGTAACGAAATATGAAGAGAATTTGGGTTTAGATGAGTCTCTTGATAAAGTAATGTTGGCATGCCTTTCATTTCATGCATATAAATTTACCATAGAATTAGTAAGGGGCGATATCTTATTTTTTATTGATATTCTAGTTAGCAAAGCGGAAACCAACTTGTATAGAGGTGTATAGGCAATCCAAAAAATGTGTTTGACTTTAAGTTTCTTTTTAAAACACTTATTGGGTTTAAGATGATCTAATCAAATTTATGGCAAAAATGAGCCTTTATCTTTTAAGTCTTAATCATCAGAACCTAGAAATGGGGCGGTTAAGGAAAATTTGAGAACAATTTTCCGTCTTGAGTAAATGACAATCATTTGACAATGTGACCTAATAAAAGGAAGGTAAACATATATTAGGACATTTTTCGTATTTAAGTAGAGTTTTGAGACTACAAGTAAATCAGTAATATGAGATGTATTTACCCTTCATCACCTTAAACGAACTAGGGTGAATACATCTATTAGGACAGTCAGCTGAATCTCTCTATTATGGTTCTTATTTCACCATTCTGTCAACTAACGAAATGCTAGTCGGATTACTGAGGAAGTGGGACATTTTAACAGCGTACATCGAGACTAACAGTATTCGGTGGTGCCGTCTTCTAATTTTTGTACCCTCCAAGTCGGAGGTTTTGTGTTTATATGGGAGGGTCTATGAGGAGAGAAACAAGAAGTTATATAAAAATAAAGCAGTCTGCAAATGTTTGGGAGTTCAAAAATCACAAGTGGCTGAACACGTGGCTTACACAGAACACCAAGTAGATTAATATAGAGACAGAGACTTTGCAGATTGAAATTATACAACTGCGAGGAAGTCCTGGGAGTCTATAGAAATCGTGCAAACTTTTAACGGCAAAAATAACAATATTGATGCGTTTTTCTTAGCCTACAGTTGCCTCATTTTATTTTGGGTTCGAGCATAACTTCATCCTTCCTATTATTATATTTTTAGGGACAAACGCAGTATAGAGCATCAAGTCTTCTATCCGAGTATGCTTTCAATTGCCCGTAGGCTTTCATTACTGCAAGAGCTTGGAACTGGACTTTCAATCTGGGAAATCGGTCAGGGTCTCGATAGCTTCCTTTCTCTTTTGTGACTCCATTTTATCAAAGGCGAAATTGCAGCTTCTTCACTAGAATTTCATTCCCAAACTGTTTGATTCATCATTTGCTTTCGAAATTATATTCTTTATTTTGCGGTTTTTAAGCTTACTTATATTATGAGTAAGGTAATTATTTGTTTATCGCATTGATGATATTTCATTTTGATACCACATTATATTTGCATTTCGTGTGAAGTATTTCGCCTTTTTCAGATAAATGTTGAGTCGAAATTTGAGCCTATTTATGAGATGTATTCATAAGGTGATAAGAGCACTGGTAGTTGAATTTTCCAATAGTGATGTGAGTAGACCTTACGCTTTAATTTAATTTCGCATAGTCCTGCTTCCCAAAAGGTATTATCATCCAGAGTGGACTGCAATTTCGACCTTGCCTTGGTTTTATCAACGCATCCAGTGGGACTCGAACCATGACACGGCGACGTATAATCTCGCCACGCTAACCACTACGTTACAATGCCACAAGTGGCCTTGGATCATAGGGCACAAGTGAATCTCAAGGAAGGCCAGGCATTTTCCCATCTTATTCTGTGATCGGATTGTCGATGAAGTATAGTTGTATTTGCTTTAGCAATCGACTACGTTACTTATTTTTCGTTTTATGAGTAGGTTTTAAAGACTATCAGTAGATAATTTGTTATATGTATTCATCCTATCTCGTTCAACTATCAGTACCCTTATCACCTAAACGAAATCTGATGAACACATCATATATCTGTTATACTGGTAGTCCCGAAAGCCTACTTATAAAACGGGAAATTTGAGATTTTTTGCCTAATATATCTATAATCTAGGCTATGATTGGCCTCGGTTGTGCTTCTCCTTGAGACTTCTTGGGACTGGTTTAACCTAGAGAACTCTGGATATGATACTAGAAATAAAAGTCTTGATAAGCACCGCAAAACATACGATCCTGAATACGATGTCAGGTGGTAAGGGAGCAGGCAATTTATATAGTAATAAAATCATAACTAAATGCATAAGTGGATTAGATGTATTTCTGATAATGTTAAAAAGTAGTCAAACTGGGGCGCCGAGGCGTGGAAATCCTTTATAGAGTTAATCATGGCCTAGAAATAAGAACTGTTAGATCATTCGGAGGTATTTTATATAAAAATAAACAATATAACATTGGTCGTAGATATGAAGTTCATGATGCTGTGGCCTTCTATTTGGTCACAGTCTGCTTCAGCTCTATAATGTTGTTGGTTCGACTTTATTTTCGCGTCAGGGAGACCTTGTAGAGTGTACTTTGTCCCGTGCCCTCTGCCATAGTATTCGGGATTTCCAGCATTGAACCATTGGCTAGATACATTCACAAATGTTTCGCCGGCATCGTCAGGGGGAGGCGACATCGTTAGCACAGAGTTCTCTCAAAGTGACAAGCGGAGGCCATTCCCTTGACCAATTTTCTGTTCAATCGTTGTGACATCACTCATCCCTATTTTTTGTCCTTCATCTAGTACCGCATCTCTTTCTCTCAATCCCACTTCATATGGCTCATCCGCTTATTTACACAATTCTGTGCTCTTGTTTCCTCCAATGTCGCATAGGAGTGTGTCGCTACAAATGGATTTAATGATGCGTAGTCATCTTCACCACTAGTACTAGATGCCGTTTGCAGGACTCCTAACCTACATTTTGCCCCCCTTTTTTTCCTGCCTGCTTGCAAATTGGCCGCTGCTAAACAACAAAATCATTTTTGGGCCGCCTAAGAACGTTCCATTCCAGTCTTCGATTATGCCATCTTCAAGGAGTTAGAGCAGACGATGCACATGTCAGTGCCTGGGAATCTTCCTCTATCTAGGCTTCAAACCCTTGACTCAATTATTCAAGTTGGCCTCACTGGAAGCTGTAGGGGCTGTGGTTGTAGATTTGTGTGATTATGTCCTTGGCGCACCGCTTGTAACCCGGATGAATCCTTGCTGAGCTTTCGTCTATCTTGTGACGGACATAGTCAGAGCGGGATACCATGCCTAAGGATAATTCAACAAAAACACGAAGGCAAGGTGGCCGGCTTCAAACCTACCAACGTATAGTCTAATTTGCTCCACTTAGGCATCTCATATTTGGGTTGGATATCATTTGTTTTCCCTAAATATAGGCTCAAAAGTCGCCGCATATGAAGTGTGGAACAGATGAAATTGTGACTGAACAGCTGCGTCCTCCCGTAAAACACTCCTACCTTTGATCCTGCAATGTTACCGAATGTTGTTGATTTCCACTGAGTGAGTGTTGTGTGAATGCATTGCTCTGGAAATGAGTGTGGTGTGAGAGTCAAAACTAGATTCGAGCCTAATCAAGCCTCCTCTTGCATGGTAGCATTTCTTTTTCCCCTTCTCTCTCTAAACCTATCCAACAGCCACAAGTAGTTTCTGCTTAAGTTCTTACACATTACTTCCATTCTGGGTGTTGGCTGTTTTGTTGATTTCTATCGCATTCCTAATCTTTCTCTTATTACTATAGTACCCATATCCATTTAGGCGTTTGGGATTAGACCAATCTATCTGGTGTACTGTGTGAGCCATTTTTTCGGACATAATTGTATCCGTTTCACGCTTCATCTGCTGCCACTTCACATATTATCCGCATTTACTTAACTTTTAAGCAAACATTTAAGCGAAGCATAGTATATCCAACAAAATCGTAAGATGCCTAAGTAAGTGGACCAAATTGGACTATAGGAAGTAGATAGGTTTGAAGCCAATTATCTTCCTTGCCGTCATGTTTTGGTGAATTATCGTTAAGCATGATGTCCTGCTCTGACTCCGTCACATGGAGGATGAAAGCTCAGCAAGGATTCATCGTTCTCGCAGGTAGTGCGCCGAGGACCTATTAGCACAAATCTACAATCACAGCTCCAAGACAATCCCCCTGCAGCTTCTGGTGAGGCCAACTTATGAATCCCTTCGTCTCTTCAAAAGAAATGAAAGGTATTCCAACGTCAATTCATTAAGGGATTCTTCGAAGGCCAGTTTTTATACATACCTAAATTCATATTAGACTTAAAGAAAACCTTGAAAATTTTGCACTCATTATTATTAATTAAGAACAGACATAGACAAATCTTGTGTGAAGCTCTTATTTTGAAGGACTTCCTTAATTTCCGAACATTTGCAGATAAGCTTCAAGACAAAGGTTTTCTGCAGGTGAGAAAGAAACAATAAAAAACCGAGACGTCCGAGAATAAGAATCAGCTCAAAAGGATGGGCAGCATCCAAATTAGTGAAAACGGAGAAAGAGGTAAATCTGTCCAAAATATTATTAAATCTTTACACAGCACATCCTATCAAAGGGTCTCAACTTTTGCTTCGTATATAGGCAGAGTTTCGAGACTACCAGTAAATCAGGTATATGAGATGTATTCACCCTATTTCGTTTAAGGTGATGTAGGACTGGTAGTGGAATTTTCCTCCATGCTACGAGTAGAGCTGGCATTTACCTTGAATTTCACATAACCCTGCTTTCCCAAAAATTGCTCTCATCGAAAGTGGACTGCAGTTTCGACCTCGCCTAGGTCTTATCAACACCCTCAGCAGGAGTCGAACCATGACAGTGCAGCATATGAGCTTGAGATGTTAACTACTCCGACACATTACGAGTGCTTTTGGTTCACAAGACAGATGTGAATTTCATGGAAGGCCAGGCCTTATCCAATATCACATTATTTGGTGGGATTGTTGGTGAAGCAAACGTATTTTTGCTATAATAATCGACTACATTACTTATTCTTAGAATATAAGCAGAGTTTCGACACTACCAGTAAATTAGTCTTAACTTTGCAGTTAGTTTTTCCTTTAATTGATAGCCACATAGGGACACCATATAAGAAAAGGGAAGTTAGTACTATCATAAGGAAACTCAGTAAATTATCAATTAATATTGAGGGCAGAGATAATTGTGGATAGGCCAGGCTATGCAGAGAAAATGCTGCATGAATTAGCTGATGGATAAACATAGACTATAATTAAGGATCCTAAAGAAGGCCAAAACTAAGGTTATTTGCAAGAATGTGTAAACAGTAGAGAATTGGGCAAGTAAAGAATGATCACGCTACTCTAGAGAAATTCCAAACCCTCAAATGCCAATGTTCTGTCCAAAATTCATAAGAAATGTATCCTACTAGGATCCTTGTAAATAATAGAGATAGCGTGATGTATAAAATGTCATGATTTATTTGGGGTCACTTCAAGCAAATATCCGACATTTTATAAAGTTAGTGATCATCAGACTATAAAAAAATAAGATTTTATTGTAAGTTTCATATAATGTCAATGTACACTAATATTCCGATAAATGGCGTAATGAATAGGCTAGATTGTATTTGTAAATTCATTATCGAGTTAAAAATGGAGAATAAATTGCCTTTTCTGCATGTATTCGTGAGCGAATTTGGCGATAAGTTTACCAGAGAACTAAATAGAAAACACACACGTTTCTTTATTGATTTCTAATCTAATCATACGTATAAGTTAAGCGAAAATATGAAGACCAAGATGGCGTGGCCTTCAGATTGGTCGCGGTCTCACTTCATTCTATGGAACTTTATTGACTTTGTTTTCGCTATATGGTTATGTTGACACGAAGATATAGAGGAACTCATCTTACCCGGAGTCCATAATATACATGATAGTATACAGTCGGACCGTGGACTTGGTACATTCCCAGATGCTTCGCCGGCATCATAGTTGTCATCGTTAGTGAGCCTTGCCATTCTTAACACCACATCAAAACTTGTCAAAGAGAGAAGTCTATCTTGTTTCCTTGACAAGTAGTGGTTTATTGCTAAGAACGTCCACGGTCCGACTGGATATTATCATGCATACTATGGACTCCGGATAAGGTGCGTTCCTCTAGGTCTTCCTGCCATTATGACCAAGTTGCGAAAACGAGGTCAAACAACCTCTATACAACGAAAGGAGACTGCGACAACACAAAAGGCCACACCATCTTGGTCTTCATGCCTTCGATTAAAA